TTTAAAATGTGTTCATCATTTAAAATGTGTTCATCATTTAATCGAATCTTTTCAAATTTTTATCTTTTTCTAAAATTCAGGCATCACTAAAATATCTGAAAATCAATAACTTAATGTTCATGATTTTTAAAATCTAAAACTATACTAGTTAAATATCTAATTATTTAATGTCAAATTCACTATGTACAATGAAATGTCCAAGTGCATATTTAGGAAGAATATATATATATATATATATATCCAAGTGCATCGCATTTGTTTTCAAAAAACAAAACATTTTTCAAATTTGATTGCAATTTATTGAAAAATTTCAAAATACATATATATATAGGTGTGTGCATACATATTGCTTTAACTTCAAATCTACCTCCACCGAAGTTCAAACCCTTGACCTCTCTAAAGAATGATGTCGTTAAGCCTTTTGGTCTCAATCTTCTAACAAGCATCCATCAAGATAATAAAATTAGTTATATCACAATTCAAACTAAATAAGTTAGATAAAACTATAAACAATATTACAAGTCCGAACTAAAAATAATAATTTCAAATCTATGTACACATCAAAATAATCAAACTATTATAAATTCTCCAAGTCAATATTAGCATACTTTCAAAGCAAATAAAAAGACCCATTGCCCAAGGGTGCACACATACCAAGGCACAAATCGCACACCAGTAACATGGTCAAATACTGTATAAAATAAATAAATAAATAACCTTTATGTACCAAATTTAGATTGATCAGTAACCCCCAAAATTTTTTATAGCTTGTGATGTTTCTTTCTTCTTCATTCAAATGAAACAGTAATTAGACATCAGTGACATTAATTTAATTAAGCTCATTTACTCAAAATAAATTCAAATGAATAAATATAATTCTAAATTTATTAAGTACTCAACATTGGTTCGATATCACTAGGCCACTGGTAGTTGATAAATGAATGAGTATTATTTTATAATATAGTAAAATTATAAAGTTTTGTGAATATTTTAAGAATGCCTGTCACCTTATCCTGACATAATAGAATTCTGGATTTTATAAATCTCGATGATGTAGACTCACATCGAGAGCCTTTTCAAAAATTATTTTAAAAAATACTTAAAAAATTATATTTTGTGAAAAATTTATTTTAAAGGTGACAATTCATAAATTTTTACACAAGGTCCCTACCACAAATTTTCATCTTTCAGTTAAGTTTACATTTAATTGAGTATGGTTACATTTTAAACTCATACTTTCTAAATTATTTTATTAAAATAAATATAGTTTAAAATCCAAAAGATACATATTTTTACTAAATTTAAAGTACAATTGAAAAACAAAACCCTTTTATAAGCACAATTAAAGGCATTTATTAGACTGTATTTTTAATTTAAATCAAATAACTTTAAATGTTTGCTGAAACTTAATCTGTGTGATCTAATTTTATTTAAGAATAATGATATAGCAATCGAAGTTAATCAACCGAAGAACCGAATTTGACGTGTACAAAGCCGTGTCAATCACTTAAACATGCTGGATTGGAAAACAATCGTTCAACCATTGTACAAGATCTATTTTACCCTCAAAAGCTCATCTTATCTACATTTCAAACCCTTTCCATTTTTTCTGTCTAAAATTTATCCAACTGTGAAATCTCTTTTCCATCTCTATCTAATATTTGGGTGGAATCTCTTCTCCGTCTCTGTTCACTGTCCTACCCACTGTCATCATCCCTTTACTTCACATCTCTCTGTACAAAAAACCTTTCTCCATGACACATTCATTTTTCCGTTGTCTGAGTTACTCATCAAAGAAGACCCAAGTCAACAGATTCCATGGCATGCACCAATAGATTCGTTTTCCTTCACAAAATCGTAAAAGAAGTTTAGAGATTAGGCATATATATAACATATGCAAAATTGAAAAGTGAGGGAGAGAAGAGAGAAGAAGAATTGGGTTTTCTTCGCTGGTTTTGAAAAAAAAACACTCTGATCCCGTCACACAGTAAAACTGAAAAAAAAAATAATAAATAAAAGAACAGTGCCGCCGTCGTCCATTCAAGAGGGGCTTATCCCTTAAATTTCTCTCTCTCTCTCTCTATATATATATATATATAGTATTTTGGGCATAACTTTTTACCTGAAACTCATAATTGAGGAAACTATACACAGTGATGACAAAAGCGGCGACGTTTATCTTTCACGCATTATCTGACCTTTTATTATTATTATTATTTTTATAGTGTAATCACTGTCGCACCAGATCAAGGATAAAGTTCGAACTATTGGGTAATACTGCATACCCAATCACTTTTTCATCCGATTTTGATATGGGATAAATAATCCTTGTTACATTTGGCCACCTCACGACGATGAAAGTTTTGGAAATAAATTTGGATGATTCTATCATTTTTCTTTATTTAATAATCATTTAAGTAATGTTATCACCAAAATCTCTCACGAGTTCTCATTATGTGACCAATGAATTAAAAAACTATTTTTATCATTGATTAAATAAAGAGAGTTTAGGACTTTGACACGAGAGTATCTCATAATAATATTACTCTAATCATATTATTTGTATAAAAAGTATTGCTTTCAGAATTTAGCATTTTACCATCCTAATTATTTTACCCTTACAATAATGCTATCAAGAGAATAAAGGAACTCTTTATATTTAATTATTAAATTAAAATTGATTTGTAAAAAGTTAAATAAATCATTGAATGCATATTTTTTAACTGTTATTTGTGTCAATGCTTATGGTATTAGCATTGGCAACACTACAATTAGACTCGAATGAATATATTTGCTCCGCTGCAACAGCTTGTAGCAGAGAGGGAGGAGGGAAACTTGGGGGGTTGTTTGCTTGACAAGTTAAAACAATGAAATTAGAGTGTCAAGCAAACAACCCCCAGGTTTCTATATTGGAAGTTATATATATATATATATATATATATATATATATATATTGGAAGTTAAATTAATTAACGTATACATTCTACCTCCACCACCTATGTTTGAACTCCCAATCTTTCCGAAGAATAATACTCATTTGGTCTTAATCATCTAACAAGTACCTATTAGAATAATAAAATTAATCATATCACAATTCAAACTAAATAAATAAAATAAAAATAAAAATTTCAAATTCATGTCCACATCAAAATAATCGAACTACCATTAATTCTCCAAGCCAATATTAGCCGACTTTCAAAGCAAATAAAAGGACCCATTGACCAAGGGTGCATACATACCGAAGCACAAACCTCACACCAACAACATGGCCAATATACCGAATAAAATAAATAAATAAATAATTTAACCTTTATGTACCAAATTTAGATTTGATTAGTAACCCTCAAAATTTTTCTAGCTGGTGATGTTTTTTTCTACTTCATTCAAATGAGACACTAATCCTACACCAGTGACACTAATTTAATTATGCTCATTTCCTCAAAATAAATTCAAATAAAATAATTATAATTTCAAATTTATAAAGTACTCAACATTAGCCCTGATATCGCTAGGTTACTGAATGAGTATTTTTTATTTTTTTTGATAAGTAAAAGTTATTTTACTGAATGAGTATTATTTTATAATATGATAAAATCATAAAATTTAGTGGATGTTTAAGGGGTGGCTAACACCTTATCCTGACATAATAGAATCCCTGATTTTATAAATCTCGGCGACGTTGACTCACATCGAGAGCCTTTTCAAAAATTATTTTAAAAAAGACTTAAAAAATTATATTTTGTGAAAAATCTAATTTAAAGGTGACAACTTCGTGACTTTTTACACAAGTCCCTACTTCAAATTTTCATTTTTCACTTTAAGTTTACATTTCATTGAGTTTCGTTCCATTTTAAACTCACACTTTCTAAATCGCTTTATTGAAATAAATGCAGTTCAAAATCCAAAAGATGCATATTTTTACTAAATTTAGAGTACAGTTGAGAAACAAAACCCTTTTATAAACATAATATGGTTGGTTATAATTTACGACATTTACCATAATGTAATTTCAGTTTAAATCATATAATTTTAATTTTTTGCTGAAACTTAATCAGTCTGATCTAATCTTTTTTAATAATCATTTAACTAATGTTATCATAAGAATCTCTGACGAGCTCTCATTATGTAGCCAATGAATTAAAAATATATTTTTTATCATTGACTAAATAAAGAGAGTTTAGGACTTTGACACGAGAGGAATCTCATAATAATATTACCCTGATCATTTCAGTTTGGCTAGTTAATAGCCATGGTCGAAAAGTTAAACTACCTGATTCAGTAGTTCTTAAGTATAAATAGAATAAGCGAATTTAGTAACTATTTTAAAAACAAAGATGTATTAAATATTCCACCTAACTTTTCGCAAATCTTAAAATAAAAAAAAAAAAAAATCTAATGCCACAAAATAGCATGATTAGCATTAGTGTCAGACATTATACCCCCTATGTTCAGGCGTGGAAGCCAATCACAAACATAATAATTAAGGATGGCAATATGTTCCGTAGGGATGGACGGGTACCTGTCTCGTTTATAGTAATTTTGGAGGACCGTTTAGCTTATTTGGTTAGGGAGCTGAATTTGGGGCAGGGACGGGAGAGGTCACCCTGCCTTGTCCCGTCTAGATAGGTAAATTATCAAATTACCCTTATTTTCACATTCACTTACTTTCTCAACCGTTTTAGTGAGTAATTGAGCCCTACGAGTTAAGAAAATACTCGTACCCTTAAATTTTATTTTAAATTATTAATTACCTTTTTTTTTTTAATGATTTTTTTAATAGTTATATAATTGTATTTAAGGAAAAAAAAAAAAAAAAAATGAGAAGAAATTATAGAACTAAACGGGACGAAGCGGGTGTCCGCGGAGTAAAAAAATTAAATGGGGTAGGAATTCTCCCGTTGAGGTGGTTTTGGGCGGGAACAAGGTAGGAATTTCTAAACGATTGTAGGTGCGGAGGATGGCACCCCTGCCCAACCGCCTCCGCTACCGTATGTAATAATAATTCAATCGCAAAACAACAATAACACAATATTTAACATGGTTTCGCTCCACCCAGCCTACCTCCATGGAAAGAAAAATCCACCATCATTAATGAAGTTCTTAACTATAAACCATTACAAATCAAAGCCCAACCCAATAAGAATTTAGAACATGCATAACAATAACACCTCTAGATATGTGTGTCATATTTAGTTCCTGAAAATGCTAAAAAGCAAAAACACATGCCCAAGAGTTTACCAGATAACTATGATTTGGCGATTACTAATCATGAAAATGGCCTTAAATGAATCTTAACCCAAAGAGTTCAAATACTCAAAGCTCAAATATTTAAAATGCTACAATCATCATTTGAGAAAGTTATGGTACAAAAATTGTGGACTATTCTTGTTGGTATAGTACTGACACGATTGTATTCCATTTTTGGAATATGAAACAAAACTTCGCTAACAGGCCAAGCAACGCACAAAAGCAGAACCTTGAGATCACAATAACAAAATCAACCACCTCTCGAACTTGCCAATCTACAACCTGTTGTTTCTCCATACACATGCATCAATAACTTGGATGCGAAACACGTATATGAACACTTCAACTGTCATTTGCTCAGTTCATTCCGCCTTTTCGAGTGTGTGAATGCCAAGGTTAATATGTCTAGACCCGTCCAGTATCCCCTTATCAAATAGGCAATGGAATGGAAAAAACAGTGTCCGGATCACGACACATCAATGCTCTTGCCTTTCTATATTTTTGCTGCTCTTCTTGGTTTTACCTTTTTGGATGCTTTTTTTCTTTTTACAGAACGTGATTCTTCCCCATTAATTAATATTTCATCTACATCCGCTGCTTCAATGGGAGGTACATCGCCAAAAACTTTTGTTTAAGCAAAATTCACATGCTTAGACCAATCAGAATTGAAATCCATAAAAAATAAAGTATGCAGTATATCTATAAAGGACATGTAAATGCTCTTTCCTTTTGCCTTTTTGCTCTTTTTCTTGGTTTTACTCTTCTTGCTTCCGCTGTTTTCTTTGGATGCCTTTTTTCTTTTTACAGGCAGAGATTCTTCCCGGCCGATTAATATTCCATCTACATCTGGAGCTTCAATGGGAGGTAAACCGCCAAAAACTTCTGTTTAAGCAGAATTGACACACAGTACACTTGGACCAATCAGAATTAAACACCACAAAAGATCAAGTTTACAGGATTCCTAAATATTCAGTACCATAAATAAAAAATAAAAAATAAAAAATAAAAGGGGGCAAGAACAACAAAGAAGAGGCGGGAAAGAGGAGCTAGCAGACCATCAAGCCAAGCAAGTGGATAAGTCCAATCCAAACCTAACCCAAAGACAAGATCCGGAAAAGTTCATGATAGGACATGCAGCAGAAGTTTAACTCTTTGCATTGCAACTGAAAACCAACAAATGTGATTGGTTCCGAATGTGACAAAAAAACCCCAGAACCTAGCAATTCTTTGCTATAGTTAACCAACAGGTCACCAAATGGATCTGGTCATGTGATTTTGAGAGAAACTTTACAAGGCCTGCAGAAGAATATTGGAAAACTATTTCCCTATTTTTCCTTTTTGCAATGCAATATCGAAGATATGTATTCAGAATAATGGGATAATACGATTGTAGGGAAAAGGACAGAACATAAACACAAATAGAATATAGGCGGTTCAATGTTCTTTTATGGTGGCAAGCAAAATGTGAGAGAACTGAGTATGATAGTTTTGGTCATATGCAGCTACAACCAATAATCTCACACAAGTCAGGAAACATGACGTGGTCCTTATTAAGGGTAATGCTAAAAGAAGGTGAAAACCAAAACTAAGATTAAGATAGTTAAGAAATATATGATAGCAGTAGTTTCATGTAGTTGACCACTAATAGTTGGAAAAAGGCTTTGCTGACATTCAGTTGAATTAATGTTCATTTATGGTAATATCATATACAAAATTTCCTTCGGGGAGACCTTTGTTGATGACTCCCAAGTTTTGCAAGCGACTCCATTTTCATTTTGTTAGATAGGACTATCTCAAGGCATCATGGAAGGATGCAGTTCTTTCACAGTTGCTGATGCTAAATCCACCTCTCTATTGATACCTATTTTTCTGGTATTAGAAAACATAAAAAGAACACATATACAATGAGCTTACCTAAATGCTATTTAGGATAAGCCAAAGAGAGACTAACCTTCATTGCTAAAATTTGAATCAAAAACAACATTTGTGAGATGCTGCTTCAAGAAAACCTGCGTCCAAATTTGTAAAAAAATTAAAATGATGTGAAGAGCACAAACTCAGAAATGTAATTATTGACCCAAAAAAATACTTAGAAATGTCATTTCACTAGGTTCATCCCAGAATACAGATTTTTTTAATAAAAAATGACTTGCGCTTACTCCAAGACAAATAGAACTCTAAGCACCACACTGAATATATAACTCTAGTCGTTACAGGTACAGTATAAACAGCCATCACTGCAAATGCAAGAGCAGATAGCAGCCAAATGAACTGCTTTTGGACAAACTAGAAAAAGCCATGAAGATGCATTTTTCTCCAACCAAGCTTAAATCTCCCACCAAGGCCATCATCACATTTAGGGCCCTCATGCTTTTCCACTCCCAAGCCCAAAAAAGGAGGGGATTAAGCATACAGCCAGAAACATCTAAGGCTCTTCCCTACCCAGACACCATGAATGCTAACATTTGAGCTTGGCGAAGGGAATCCACTAGTATCTTTTTTTCTTTTTTCTTTTTTCTTTTTTTTTTTGATAAGTAAAGGGAATCCCCTAGTATTGATAACTCTCCCCACATTACCAACATGAATGCTATTTTTATTTATTTTTATATAATTATCCTGCAAAATTCATGACCTAAACTTGTTAAGAATTCCTACAGAATGAACGGAGTCCATAGGTAATTTTAGGTCATAAAAAGAAGGCTTTGTAATATAACAATTCAATATTATCAGAAGAACAAGGAAATTATATAATCAGTACAACTTACACATACGTTGTTCTTGACCACAAATTCAAGTAAATTCATATTTTGATTGGTCAGGCCATAGTATAAATTTATAATAAGACTTTATATCATTACAAAACCATAACCATATGCTCAGACAACCCCCAACCACCACCCCCCACCCACCCACACACACACCAAATAAAAGAAAATAATAACAACAACAACTTCCGGACAAACTGGAAGCTTTCAGCATTGACAATAGATATGTCGAATAATAGTTTGATAACATACCGCAGAAAGAAGTTGTCTCGACTTTATACCCCAAAGTCGCAAATAGTTATCCAGTCCTGGATAAACAAGCAAGTTTTTCACTTCAGTGGTTGCAAGAGAAATTTATTATAATTTTTTAAAATAAACAAAAAATATATGCTTCTAATTTGTAAAAGAAATTATGCAGATATCTAATAATTTGACAATAGATGTGTCGAGGTAGTAAGCCTCAAGTCAATTAACCCTCAAACTATCTGTTTTCAAACAAGAATAGAATAGAAGAAAGTTAATAGGTGACACAAGGTTATATATTGTACTTAGAAATATTATGCAACTGTTTGGACCAACAGATGAAAAGATGTCTCCTTAAATTTGCTCCACAAGGATTCTTCAACTTACAACACAATACAAGCACCAGAGGCCAAAATCAAAATCCACATCATGTCCCTAAACAGGGAAAACAGAATCTGTTAATTATGTGATGAGTGTGTAGAATACCCACCGCATGAGGCTATCACTGGGTGTTCCGGATGCCTGGCTATGGCTCTTATACTTCCAGAACATTTCCCCAAAAAGCATCCTAATAGTTTCCCTGCAACACCCATAGATAAGAGTCACGAACAGTAAATCTTGGCAATTTACCAAATATATAAATCTCAGTATGATAGGCTTCACAACCAGGTCCAACAAATAATGGTCATGCTTCAAGGTTTCAAACAAACTGATTTCGAATATCTTTTCGGGAAAAAAGAAATGAAAAATTGAATATGGTCTTCTATGAGTATCAAAATCATTCCACGTCATTGGAAGAATTCAATCAATCAACGCAACCAGAAGTGATGTGAAAACTCCATAAGCATTGTAAGAGTATAATGTGTGTAAAATATGACCAGCAATCAACAATGGGAAGCAAAAAAATCATAATAGACACAATATGATCAGCTTAGAAGTACTACCTCACAGGTTGGGTTCTAGGCATAATGCATATGTGTATGAGCAAATTCACACGGTGAAGACAATATTAATCATCCCAGACAAGTTGACAAACCTACGAATGAGTTACTTTACTGATAAGGTATTTGAGGATGTATTGGAAGTATTTGGGAACAAATCAACTACAAATAGCCAGGAAAAACCCGGATGGAGCACGACCCACCCAACTACTTCTGTAAACAATGGGGAGGTTTTGTGCTATGCAGCATCCGCGGCTATGGCAACGCTTCATTATCCAAAACTTTGAACCAAATAATAATAGAAATAACAATATGCCCAACAGTAAGATCATTTTTGAGATTTGAAATCATCATCTTAAACTTTATTTCTCAATTAATAACTTACAACAAAGGTGAATCTTACCATTATGCATTTTATATCAAACCTTCTTCCAAGCAGGCTTCTTCAAACAGTTTGCTTATAAAATTTATGGAAGTCCAAGAGAAACCTGCTTCTACCATGAAGCAATAATATTTCAAATTCTAAAAGCAAGGTGCGCTTATTAATTCAATACAAAATGAACAGCGAGAGAAGCTGTTTGCCTTCAGGAGATTAAGATGGATGTGACATCTATGGAGGTGAGAAAATCTAGGATCGAGGTATGTTGAAGAGGTTGTCAACAATGGGTACTCTTTCTTTGTGGGACAATAGGGTGGATCAGAAAACTGATGAATGGAGAAGGTTCTATTTGTTTCAGATCATATTACAAATTACAAACTCAAAGGATGTTCATTTGGTCCTTCATGGGTGTATATGGACCCGTTGAGGATGCCCACATGGGTGAGCTTTGGGATGATCTTATGAAAGTAAAAAAAGCGATGGGAGAAGCCTCGGTGTATGGGGATACTTCAACATTATCCCCCAAAGCACTGGCATCACCAAATATGGAGTCCACTTTCTGTCCTGAGATGCAAAATTACACTCTGGCTGGCTGTGCACGGCAGGCTCTCTACCATGGATCGAAGCAGAATGAGGAATGTTAATGGATCGAGGGTTTGCCACCTCTGTAACTTGGTCAACGAGACCCATGATCATCTCTTCTTTGCTTGCACCTTCACAATACCAATCTGGATCCATCTTCAATACATAGCTGGATTCTACGCCCCACCCTCATCATGGTATGATTTCGTCCTTTGGGCCTCTCACCATTGGGCAAGACGGGATCAGAGAATGTCGGTGAGAAGCTCGTGCTCTCCACCGCCGTCAATAAAATCTGGATGGAGCAAAACAGCAGGGTGTTCACGAATCAGAGAAACGGTGATCTTAAGGCAAATCACAGACATGGTCAGGCAAAAATTACTATCTATTAGCATTAAAGACTCACCTTATGCAAGGAAACTGGCGTGAGATTGGGAGCTACCGGCGTATATCCTGAGGCCACCGGCGGAGCCTCCAGATCAAGCAGCTTAGGGCTATAGCTTCGGCTAGAGAAAGCCCTTCAATTTACACCGGATTGATTATAAGCTTTGACAGGGATAGTCTTTGATTTTGCCCTAGACTAAACATTGTCAATGCTTCTGTTCGGCTAGGCCCAGTGATAGGACTTCATTGTTGGTTTTTTGTTGGGCTCAGTCCACTAATCGTGGGCTGGCCTTTATACATTACTAACTTACCTTCCCAAAAAAATTGGATATTTTTATAAAGACTATAGTACCCTCGTATTTCCACATATATACACCCAAATCCCTAAGACGAAGATGATAATGAAAGAAATCACAGAAATATCTTCAGAAAGGGGTTTTTTTCAGATAAACCCTATTTCACCTTGAGCTTCCACAACCCTCTCCATCTCCATATTCATCTTCCGACCCTCAGTCTGGATAATATCAGGTGAGTCCTCATCTTCATCAATTGTTATATACATGAATATATTTGCATTTATTACAATTTTCATTATCTAGTGTCACCTGTAGTGTAATTTATTCCGTCTTTCTCTTAGATAATCCTACAAAGAAACTGATGATGGAACCCAATTTCTTGTTTTCTTCCCCAAGGACTTTGCCATACACTACCTCTTTGCCCTCCTTCTTCTCTTACAGAACTTCTTTGCTTCAAAAACCAAATTCTTTTGTAAAAACACATCTCTCAATCTCTTCAACACAATCAGAAAAGACACCATTTCTGGGAAAAAGTTTGGTTTTAAAGGAGAAAAAAGCTGATTCGAGTAACCTAAGAAAAACCCATGTTCCATTTGGTCCAATCAGAGCGATTGTTAAGAGAAGGAAAGAGCTTCCCTTTGATAATGTAATCCAAAGGGACAAGAAGCTCAAGTTGGTTATGAAAATTCGGAAGATTCTAGCGAGCCAACCCAATCGAACAATGGCGCTTCGCGAGTTGGGTAAATTTAGAAGAGAATTGGGTCTCGATAAGAAGAGGCGATTTATTGCTTTGTTGAGAAAATTTCCAGCAATATTTGAGATAGTGGAAGAAGGGGCTTATTCGCTTCAGTTCAAATTGACACCTGAGGCGGAGAGGCTTTACTTGGAGGAGCTGAAGATTAGGAATGAGATGGAGGACTTGCTGGTTGTCAAATTGAGAAAATTATTGATGATGTCTATAGATAAGCGAATTCTTCTGGAGAAGATTGCCCATCTGAAGACTGATCTCGGGCTTCCTTTAGAATTTCGTGACACAATTTGTCACCGATACCCACAGTATTTTAAGGTTGTTGCAACTGGACGAGGCCCTGCACTAGAACTAACTCACTGGGATCCTGAACTTGCTGTTTCGGCTGCTGAGCTTGCGGAGGAAGAAAATCGAGTTAGAGAGCTGGAAGAGAAAGATCTAATTATAGATAGACCACTGAAGTTCAACAGAGTGAAGCTGCCAAAGGGTCTTAATCTTTCGAAAGGTGAGATAAGAAGGATTTCTCAGTTTAGAGACATGCCTTATATCTCACCTTATTCTGATTTCTCTGCATTGAGGTCTGGTACACTGGAAAAAGAAAAGCATGCTTGTGGGGTTGTTCATGAAATCCTGAGCCTCACTGTTGAGAAGAGAACTCTTGTGGATCACTTCACTCATTTCCGAGAAGAGTTTAGATTCTCTCAGCAGCTAAGGGGAATGTTGATAAGGCATCCAGATATGTTCTATGTCTCCCTAAAAGGGGATAGGGATTCAGTTTTCCTCAGGGAAGCATATCGCGATTCTCAATTGGTGGAAAAGGACCGGTTGTTGCTCATCAAGGAGAAGCTTCGGTCGCTTGTTGCTGTTCCGCGATTTCCAAGGAGGGGAGTTCCAAGAACTGATACTGATGGTACAGAGGGAACTGATGGGCCAGAAGAAGGAAGTGGGAAGGAGGATGGAGAAGAATGGTCTGATGTTGATAATATGAATGATGAATTTGATGATGGTGAGGATGATTATGAAGACGATGAGGATGACTGGAGTGACGATGATGATATGCCCCCAGACTTCGAAGAAGATGGTGGAAATGTGAATGCTGAACTGAGCAAACCAACTAAACAGGTAGATAAGTTGACAAAGAATGAAGAGAAGGAGCTTGTTCCCGCGTTTCCAGATGGTCGGCCAAGAGAACGCTGGTAAATGTAGTAGAAATTGACATATATTTTAAAGGCTCCGATCTGGGAATATTCATCCAAAGGTCTCTAAAGTTTTTCCCTTGGACCTAGTTTTAAGATATCTTCCCTCATTCTAGGAGGAGAAGAATTTACTCCTGTGGTGGTTCTGTGGCTCTTTGCAAATGTAACTCCTGGATCACCTTCCCCACTTTTGAGGTCCAAGAAAGTGCTAGAGAAAAGAGTTTTACAGTTTTCAATTATTTTCTTCTCTTTTTTCTGTGTAACATAATTGTTCGCACTTGCATATTTATGAGAGCACTAAACATTTAACTTTTGTACCTGCTAAATCTACTAGGTTTGCTTTTTACAAGTACAGTACATGTGACATTTTTGTTAATATTTGTTAGAATGTTTATATCCTCCATAATATTGGGTCCTTATGTAATTACCCATAATAATTAGGCTTATTGTGTAATTAAGCAATATTGTGTAATTAGGGTGTATAACCCTTGTTCTGTATATAAGCCTCACAAGAGAAGGCTGAATACAACACACAGAACATACATTACTCTCTCTCTCTCTCTCAATCTCTCATGAATCTGAACATGGTATCAGAGCAATATAGATTCATGGGTGTGGGAAACGACAAGTGTGTTGCCCTTGTATGAGATTGGACTCGCGATTGGAATCGTGAGTGTGTTGTTGGCGTCTTTGCCGGAAGTTATTGTCGCCGGTACGCTGAGAAGATCACTCGGAGTCATCATCGTCCTTCGTCGCCGTCAGATTTGAAGCCCGTAATCGTCGTCGTCAGATCTGCAGCCTTCTTCGTCGCCGTCAAATCTGAAGCCCCTTGGCCGTTTGTGTTGTGCTGTGTTGATCATAAGCAAGCTCGCCGACATCCACCGTTGTTGTTTGCAGAGGTCAGGCTTCATCGATTCGTCCTTTTTTCTCGGTCGGAAGTTGCGGAGGTTCTGATTCGGTATGGTGTCGCCGCTGTGTGCTTGCCGGAGTCTGTTGGTGGTTGTGAAGAAGAATAGCCCTGTTTGGCTACGCGGCTATGTTATTCCAACCCTGGTTTACTAAAATCGGGGTAGCAGAGACCTGGTTTAGATCCGACCTGGTTGCCCAGATCCGACCTGGTTGCCAAATCCGACCCGGTTGCCGATTTTGCATTTTTTTTTTTCCCCAGGTTCGTCTGGTTTTTTTTTTTTTTTTTTTTTTACCTTTTCCATGGCTTGCAGTTCAGACCTGTTATCTTCTAGTTCCTTCAATCCTCCCATGATTTCAGTCAAGCTTAATGGAAAAAATTACATCTTATGGGCCAAGTCAGTGGCCATTTTCCTGAAAGCCAAAGGCTTTGGTGCTCATTTGGTTCAGGACAAACCCAAAAGCAGTGATGCTGATTTCAGTTCATGGGAACAAAGGGATGGTCAAATCATCTCCTTAATGCTGAATTATATTGAATCTCATATTAGCTCCAACTTATTATATCTGGACACTGCCAAGGAGATATAGACCCGACTCCAACAGTTATATTCCGGTGCTGGTAATATAACTAGAATTTATGAGGTGTGTAGACAATTTTTTGATCTCCAGCAAAGGACTCACAGTTTAGAGGAATACCTCTCACGGGCAATGGGACTTTGTGAAGAAATGAATATATATCAACCCATCACCTCTAATGTGAAAAACATGCAGCAGCAACGTGAGGATTTTAATGTTTTTCGGGTTCTTACAGGATTGTCACAAGAGTATGAACCTATTCGTGCACAGATTTTGGGGAGCCCTGCACTTCCCTCTCTACCTGATATGTTATCTAGACTCCAGCGTGCCACTTTATCTAGTGGCGCTTCAGGAGGTGCTTCCAGTGGTGTCACTGCTCCTCCTAGCAGTGAACGTTCTGTTTTAGTTGTGAACCAGGGTGGCTTTCAGTCTTCTCGTGGTGGTGGTGGTCGTTTTACTCGTGCCGTGGCCGTGGTCGAGGCAGAGGTCGAGACTCAAAACTTTGCACTCACTACGGTCTTATTAATCACACTGTCAATTACTGTTGGGATCTTCATGGGAAACCACCACCTTCTTCCTATACACATCAGGTGACTTCTAATGATGGAGATTCTTCTCACTCTGCCACACCCACTGCTTCACATGTGGCTGTTGAGACTGCTATGGTCACGATTCCCCGCGATGAGTATGCTCAGTTTCTATCTCAACAATGGCCTTTCGCCTCATCTTCCATGAGGTCCTTGGCCAATCAGGTAGTGCCCCTGCATGTCTTTTGTTCTCTAGTCAGTGTCATTGGATTCTTGACTCTGGCGCATTCGATCACATGACTGGTAGTTCTCATCTCTTATCTGATTTTCAATATGTTCCTTCCTCTCAAAATGTTACTCTTACTAATGGATCATCAACTAAAGTTTTGGGTTTGGAAACTATTCATCTTACCTCTTCTATGTCCCTTTCCTCTGTGTTATATGTTCCTCAATTCCCTTTTAATTTGTTGTCCATTAGCAAAATTACTAAATCTCTTCACTGTTCTGTTACATTTTATCCCACATGTTGTCTTTTTCAGGATCTCAAGACGAAGAAGAGGATTGGTATGGGACATGAAGTTGGTGGCTTGTATTACTTCGATCTTGCACCATCTCCCACGGCTCTTTAATCATCTTTGTCTTCTTTCTAGTGGCACTGTCATCTCGGCCACCCATCACTATCAGTTCTACAGCGTCAAGTCCCCGATCTTAGTCGTGTTGAGTCCATGTCTTGTGAAACATGTCAACTTAGTAAGCATTGTCGTGTATCTTTCAAGCCAAGGGCTAATAATCGTGTTACTAGTCCTTTTCAATTAGTTCATTCAGATGTATGGGGACCAATAAAACATATTTATATTAATGGATTTCGTTATTTTATGACCTTTGTGGATGATCATTCTTGGATGACTTGGTTGTTTTTAATAAAAAATCGTTCTGAGTTTTTTTCTATTTTCAAAATATTTCGCAAAGAAATAAAAACTCAATTTGGGTGTTCCATTAAAGTTTTACGTTCTGACAATGCCAAAGAATATTTCTCGGACCCATTCGAGACTTATTTTCATCTTAAAGGCATCATTCATCAATCCTCTTGTACTTATACTCTGCAACAAAATGGAGTAGCTGAACGTAAAAATCGTCATCTTCTTGATGTCTGTCGTGCCCTTTTATTTCATATGCATGTTCCCAAACGATTTTGGAGTGATGCCGTTCTTACGGCATGTCATCTTATTAATCGAATGCCCTCATCCGTGTTAAAAGGTAAATCTCCTCATTCTGTTCTATTTCTCGACTTCGTATCGTTTAATTTGACTCTGCGAGTCTTTGGCTGTGTGTGTTATGTCCATAACCTTGGACCCGGTCTTGATAAACTCGACCCTCGTGCCACTAATTGTGTTTTTCTTGGGTAGTCTCGCACTTAGAAGGGCTATCGTTGTTACAGTCCTCATTTTCAACGCTATTTCACTAATGCTGATGTAACATTTTCTGAGTCTCTCTCTCATATTTTTCTGATTCTACTACTCCTCTCGATATTACTTCTGAGCCACCTATGCCAACGGTTCCATCTCAGTTTCCTACTTCCGCACCTCCTCGCTTTGTTGTCCCTTTGCAGGTTTATACTCGACGACCTCGATCGCTAACTTCGCTCCTTCTATCTCCTTCAGAGTCTTTAGATCCGACACCTTTACCTGATGTTTTGCCTATTGCTCTCCGTAAAAGTATTCGGTCGTGTTACTGCACATCCCATTTCTAACTTTGTCTCCTGCCGTCATGTTTCATCATCTTTATCTTGTTTTTTATCCAAAGTATCTGCTACTTTTGTTCCCAAGACTTTGCTGGATGCTCTCTCTGATTTGGGTTGGCGACAAGCCATGGTGGATGAAATGGATGCCTTTTACCGTAATGGAACATGGGATCTTGTTCCCTTACCTCTACGCTCCAAAACGGTTGGTTGTAAGTGGGTTTACACAGTTAAATACCTTCACAATGGGTCTATTGAGCGGTTGAAGGCTCGTCTAGTGGCAAAGGGATACACTTAGACTTATGGTGTTGATTATGATGAGACTTTTTCCCCTGTTGCTAAGATTTCTTCTATTCGGGTTCTTATTTCCATTGCTGCCAATTGTAACTGGCCGTTCTTTCAATTAGATGTCAAAAATGCCTTCTTACATGGTGACCTGGTTGAAGAGGTTTATATGGAGCAACCACCTGGGTTTGTTGCTCAGGGGGAGTATCGTCACATTGTTTGTCGCCTTAAAAAGGCCTTGTATGGATTAAAACAATCTCCACAGGCTTGGTTTGGAAAATTCTCTGAGGCGGCATTAGAATTTGGTCTTAACAGATGCCAGACAGATCATTCGATATTTCACCTGTGCATTAAAGCTGGCTTCATTTTTCTTGTGGTGTATGTAGATGATATTGTGATCACAAGTGATGATTCTGCAGGCATTGCTAAGTTGAAGTTGTTTCTGCAAAATCGATTCCAACTTGGGTAAACTTAGGTATTTCTTGGGTATTGAAGTTGTTAGATCCAAGGAAGGTATAAGTTTATCTCAACAAAAATATGTGTTGGACTTGCTAGAAGAAACGGGTATGTTAGGTGGTCGTCCGGTTGATGCTCCTATGGATTCAAATACAAAACTTGTATCTGATGAGGGTGATCTATTTAATGACTCGAGTAGATTTCGTCGCCTTATTAGGAAATTAATTTTTCTTACTATCACTCAGCCTGATATTTCATATGCAGTTAGTGTTGTAAGTCAGTTCATGGGAGCTCCTAGAATGCCACATTGGATTGCTGTTATTCGGATTATCCGATATCTCAAGCAAGCTCCAGGTTTTGGGTTACTATACAAATCAAATGGTCATCTTAGGTTGGAAGGTTTTACAGATGCTGACTGGGCTGGTTCTCCTTCAGATAGGAGATCTACTACAGGCTACTATACATTTGTAGGAGGAAATCTTGTTACGTGGAAAAGTAAAAAGTAAACGGTGGTAGTTCGATCTAGTGTTGAATCTGAGTACAGGGCAATGGCCCATACCACTAGTGAGTTGACATGGGTACAATATTTTCTAAAAGAACTTGGGTTGACAGTTGAAGTTCCTACTCCATTGTTCTGTGATAATCAAGCAGCTGTTCACATTGCATCGAATCCTGTATTTCATGAGAGGACCAAACATATTGAGGTTGATTGTTACTTTGTTCGGGAAAAACTATTAAGTGGGACCATCTCTACTCCATTTGTGAAGTCTGAAGATCAACTAGCTGATATGTTTACCAAAGCACTGGGTCATAACCGGTTAAGGACTATCTATTCCAAGCTGGGATTATTTGATATATATT